TCTTTGTCTGCAGTGGGAACCTGACAAAGAACAGAGAAGCCCAAGTAGAGTTCCCAAAAGAAATTCATGAATATATTGAACACATTGTCATCCTCTTCCACAGACCAGGAGTATCCAAAGCAGCTATTTGCTATTGGGCGACACTGCTCGAGCATAAAGGTGTGGATATTGGAGACAGAGTAGAAGAAATGTGGGCTTTCTCTAGTAAGCACCTAGAGAAAAATAAGTAATTTCATTAAATGAATAAATTTGTTTAACATAATTCAAATGCAGAAAGTTATTACTGCATCCAGAAATAATTCATTGAAGTAAAAATGTGCCTTTTAAACTGCGTTTTCTTTTGCAGTTGAGTCTTCCCCAGCTGTTCTAAGCAATCTCCAAACATTTCTTAATAATATTTTAGCAACTAAGTTGTTCATTTGCATCCCAGCACGTTGTCATTAGTTTTTGCTTTTATTGTTAACTTTAAAGACATATCACTGCTTGTTAAAACTTGGGAGATGCATAGAGCCTCTAGTGTACAATACATTCTTGTTCCTGCTATCAGTCATCTGAATCACAGCAATGTCAGCAGCTCATCTGCAGTACATAGCACATAACTAAACAAGCAACCACCCACAGTACATAAAAACACCAGAGATCTCTTCAGATGTTACTGAGAAGTAGCTCTTACCTATGTGTCTAACCACTTAATCCTCTAGACTTTGACCTCCAGTCAGTTCCCAAATATCATAACAAAAATAATCTGGATATATAAAGAAGTTGAATCAATATGAGAGAACAATGCAGTTATTTAACATCCTCAGCATTGTTCATTTACTCAGTCTTTTCATTCTTCAGACTTCAATAGTAACGCTCTTTCTTCCCAATGGTTTTTTTCCTTATATTATGATTTTATTGGAGAAAAGTAGAGAATGAAATTCTGTAAAACATACATTTTTAGAAGGGATTTTCTGGTTACCATTTGGGAGGGGTGTTGGTTGGTTGGTTGGTTTGGTTCTTTAAATTGTATTCAAATTTAGTAATTAGTGTCACTGATGATCTGCCTATTTTGGAGCAAGCAAAAGCTGTTAATGTGTGTGGGTGTGTATATACTGTACAGATAGATAGATTAGATAGATATAACACACCTGTACATACTTCAATATAGGATTTGATCCTGCAAACATGCATGTTGAGTAATTTTACCTGCATAGTTAGGCCCATGAAGTCAATGAGACTACTCATATGAGAAAAGTTATTTAACATGCATAGAGTTTACAGGTTTAGGCCCCATATTTATGTATGTACTGTAAATTCACACACACACATTTGTAAACATTCTTCCAAAAATCATGTATAAAAATGGATAACTGTGTCTAGAGATTTGTCCAAATATTAAAACTTGTACAAAGTGTCTCAAAATGCCATTTGTTGTGACATGTTTCTCAACATACCATTGTACAAATTGGTGAATAGAAACACAAAAACATGGAGTTACTAATGCTTTCATGTCCACATGTGTACATGTAGATAGATACATAAACAGATTCTAGGCAACATTGAAGGAAAAATAGGTGGACCACAGGGAGGTAGCTAATCAGCAATGCAGGTGGTTCAGGTAGCTGCTTTTCACACAGATAATTAATGTGAACAAGTAGCTGCTAATTGCACATTTCAGGAATGATTTATGAGGTGGCAGAGAGGAAAGAGGGACACAATCTAATTTCTTTCGGAACCTCTGCCATTCATACAATGGTATCAGCACAGCTGTGAGATGGGACATGATTAATTATTAGTGAACAGTGGGTAAACACACAGCCATCATAAAGGGTGCTATTTTAATGACAAGCTTGTCAAAATAGAAAGTGGCACTTACTCAGAGCGATGGTCAGTAACAGTGCAGATTATGAGCTTTTTTTACTCACTAATTCACTTGCATGTCAGATTTAACACCAACTCTGGTTCTGAAATAAGGTTGTTTATGTCCATCAGGATGGTTATTGGTTTAACACAGACTATTATCATTGACTTTTATTCACAGGTTTGTGTTTCTGAATAAAAGACTACAGATATTATTTTCTTTGCAGTGGTCTAAAGGAAAATAAATTTGGCAAGGACTTATATAAACAGTACATTAAACCTAGGCTTATAAATGTGTCTGTTAAATATTATGTAGTGCCTCTGGCACACAAACCTCTTTCTGCCATCTAACCTATACTGCACAAAAATAGCTATGCAAAAATATTGCTTTCCTTTGTTTAGGAGGAATGATTTGCCCATCCTTGTGTTTGCTTTACCCTCTTATCCGGGTTAAAGATATCTTATATTGTGCTTTTGCTGACATATTTTGTGGCTTGATTAGTATATCAATTTGCTAGGCATTTTTAAAGGTGTTAATCAGTTTTATCTCTGAAAAGATTGCTAATGAAATTTGAAAATCTAAACTAATCTTGAAATAGTAAATGTGCATGAGGTAGCTCTGTTTAAAGAGCAAAAGTTACCTGTTTCACTGAGATCATGAAGAAGGATGTTATTTTTTTTGATAGAGTGCCTTTTCATCAGAATATTGAAGTGTTTTACATTGACCTAGTACTGGCATTTCTTCTGTAAGGATGTATGCTCCAAATAAGATATATTACTAAAGTATGTGATCATTAAATCATACAGTAATACCAAAAAAAATTTAAATGATTGCAGTTTGATAAAGAAAACAAGTTGTTTAATTCTATTTTATTTTTTATAGCTTTTAGAATTTGACAAAGAGCTGTCTGTCTTTAAAGATAAATTGTATGAACTGGACATCTCATTTCCACCCAGGTAAGATACATATACAGTCCACTTTTTTAATTGATGGCTAAAATGTAATTGTTATTAGTGCAAGAGAGTGTATGTATGTGATTCTGTGTATATATACATATATATTTTGTTCCTGCCATAAAGTTTTACGGCTCTTCCTGTATCCCCTCAGTTACCAGTATGAATAGTGACACCTTACAGGTTGCATGCTGCTAGTGCTCTACTGTCTATAAATATCCCATCATCTGGATTCAACTGGTCCCATATTTGTGTAGTTGATTTCAGAATACTGTAATAAACTAGAGTGCCTTCTAACATACACTTGTTTGTAGAACTTCAGTTTGTAGCTATTTTTGTGCACTAAGCCCAAGTAAACTGTTCAGAAATTTTACCATAACAAAAACTAAATATATCTTAGCTTCAAACCTTTGGAAAGTACCCGTACATGAGAGGAAATTGACACTAACTAAAATCTGACTTGAACAAAATGTGAAAGTGATTGGTCTGATTTCATTGCTCAGTTAAAAGATAAATATCAGGAAGGATTAAAAGAAATTGAAATAATTTTATAATCTCCAGTATTGTTAGTAAGACTGGTAATAAATGTGGGGTTTTTAAATAAATGTGATTTTTTTAAACCTGATCATGTCCCCATAATTTTAACAGTGATTAAGCATCAACCATAAACAAACAAAAACCAAGAATTTTTAAAATGACAGTACTATTCTGGAGAAATCCAAGAAAACTTTGAGCCATTTCTAAATATCTGTGACTCTATTTCAAGAAAGGAGAGCTCAGCTCTCGCATGTCTAGTACAGTTGCTTTGAAAAAAGGAAAAATAGTATCACAAAGAAAGCTAGAGTTGAGGAGCAAGAAGTCAGAGAGACGATGCTATAATTTGTATGAGGCAGAGTCCTGTAAAATCAAATATAGTGTTGTTGTATGTGTAACTAGTTTTTTTTTTCCATTGGGGTAGACACAAAAGTGTGAGGTTTTGGTACAATATGAGAAAAAATTTGGAAAGCTTGCCTTTTTGTTATCATAGTCTCGTTACTTCTCACCAGCCAGCTGTGATACTGAGTCTATTGATCCCTAGGGACAACAGAAGTATGCATGAAGAGGTTACCACTGCTCTAAATTGTTCTTATTGATTGAGTATGATAACAGAAGACCAGTACTGTGTAAATCTCCAAGTGTATTTCATTAGCTATGTACCTGGTCAGGGAGGGGGAGGGCAGATGGATTTGTTACCAGGATATAGACCAGCACGGAATTTCACCAATATTAGCACTGTCTTGTAAGAAGTTGTAGTTGCCTTATTTAGTAATGGCAGATTAGGCTCAATATATGTGATAACATATTCTAACATACACTGCATTAATTTTCAGGTTTGGCCTCAGTATTTCTGAATATACGAATTATTAATACACCTCTACCTCGATATAACGCTGTCCTCGGGAGCCAAAAAATCTTACCGCATTATAGGTGAAACCGCGTTATATCGAACTTGCTTTGATCCGCCGGAGTGCGCAGCCCCGCCCCCCCGGAGCACTGCTTTACCGCATTATATCAGTATTCGTGTTATATCGGGTCGCCTTATATCGGGGTAGAGGTGTACATAAAATTACATATATAGCTTAAAGTCCAATCACTACCACCAGTATCAGTGACATAGTGCTGCAGTTATGCTACTCCTAGAAAAAAGAGCCTCGAGCCTCCAAGAGCAAGTAGTATGGCACTTCATTATAGGCACAGCTGGTAGAACTGCCTGTTAAGGTTATTTCACATTTAAGACCCTGTTTTCACTTACATATAACAACTTGGCCAAATTTTATCTGTTTAGGCAGATATTTTCCACACTGCATATTTCCATCACGCTAAAGTCTTGGGAAAATTTCAGCCAAAATTGTTCAGCCATTTCTCAGAACAAAGCTAGGCAAATTGTTGATTTGCCCATATTAAAAAAATTTTGAGACCTTTTCTAGCACCCCTCTACTTTGAATCAGGGCTTTGAAATTTGGCAGGGAATAGTATTTTGTCAGGGATGTGCATTTTACTGTCCCCAAGAAAAGCAGCCTACATTTGGCCAAGTTGTACACCTTTGAAAAATCTTGGGTTCACACACTCTCAGTAGAGACTTCTTCAATTTTAGCAGCTAAATTCCCCAAAGATTCCATTTGCACTGGACATGCCCCAGGCCCAGCTTGAGTAGAACTTTCCCTGCAATGGCAGCTCTGGGCAGCTACTGGCAATTCTTGGTCTGGGGACCTGAATTGAGAACATGGGTACTGTCTCCTGTGCTGGCAGTGCCCCTTCCCCCACCACTGGGCCCAGGCTGCATGGAAGAGGAAGCAGTCTGATTCACATGCAGAGGTGCTACAAGCTGGACCCGCAGAGCAGCAGTAGATTGGGACAAGAAGTTTACAGGGAGACTGGGACTAGGAGATAGCAGAGGGGGAGAGGACAAATGGGAGTTGAAAGAGGAGACTGGGACTGATGTGGCAAGGACCCTGGGAATATGGGGAAACTGGGGCTGGTTGGGAAAGGAGACTACATCAGAGAGCTGAAAGGGACTGTGACTGGGTGGGTAAGAACACTGGGACTGGGAGTTGGGAGGGAAATTTTAAGGGGAGACTAAGATTAAATGAGAATCCTGGGAGAGAATGGGTACTGGCTGGGTAAGGAGACCGGGACAGAGAACCATTGGGGTTTCGAGAAGGACATGGTCGGGGAGGGCAAATAGATCTGATAGTTCTGATAAGGAACTGAGGTGCAGGGAAAGAACTGGCATTAGCCAGGCGGATAGACTGAGACAAAGATTCAGGGGGCCTGGGGATGGATGCGAATCTCAAAATTGGATGTGGATCCTGGAGAGGAAGATTAGGACTAGAAGCCAGTGGGAATTAAGAACGGGAGTGTGGGGAGGGAGAAAGATCAGGTGAGGAAGCAGAAGGGGGGGAATTGAAATTGGCTGGGCAAGGAGACTGGGACTTGGGAGGAGATGAGATGGGGATTCTGGAGAGATGAGACTAAGACTTAGTGGGCAAGGAGACTGAAACTGGGATGAGAAGCCTGAGGAGTGGAGACTTGGGATTGGAACAAGGAGCCAGGGGTGGGGAGGGGACAGGGCAGAAGGAGTCACGCTTAGCGCAGATGGGCAGAAGAGTCTATGCCCACTTGATCATACTCCCCTCCATAGCCTGGAATGGAGGCCAAGATTCCTGAGTCTCACCATTCCTCTGTTGTCAACAAATATCTATGAAACACCCTGGCAAAGTATCCCATGCCCCTCTAGTGCTAATCCATGTAGAGGATGGCAACGTACTACTGCTATCAGTTACTCTGTTAGTTAAAATGACAGAGATCAGTGTAGTGAATCCAAAGGTTCCAACCTTGCTGATGACACATGCAGGTGTCTATATGATGCCACATAATGGAATTTTTTTTCAGTTCCTTTTTTTTTTTTTAAACTAGGAAACTATACAGAAAAAACTATGTTAACAGAACATTCTTAAGATTGCAAAGTCAAGCACGCAGAAGTTAGGAAATCTCTGTGCAACCTTAATTCAGCTCCTTTGGGTGTATGCATTATGATGAACTCTTTAATTACATGATCACATCCTAGTTTTTCCACAGGATACAGGCCTGATATAGTGCACAGGATGGACCAGGTCTGAGGATGAATCAGTATTGTATAGTGAAGGAGATTGTTGTCTGTAGGACCAATGCGTCATGTGTTGTAGCAGTTGGAAAGTGTGTACTGAATGAGCAGAGGATTGCAGAAAGAGAAAGGATGGTCTTGTGGTTGAGATAGTTGAATGGTGCTCTGGGCAACTGGATTCTGTCCCTGCCTCTGCCATGGTATTCCTCTGTGATACTGTCATTTAAACCAAACTTTTCACAGATGGTCACTAATTGTGTGATCCTCATTTTCTGGGTGCCTCGTTTAATCTGATTTGCAGAAGTGCTGATCACTCAAACCTGCAACTGAAGTCAATGGGAGCTGTGCTTAGAATATACAAAGTCCTATATAATGCTAAATACTCTGAAGAATCAGATTATAGGTGTCTCAGTTTGGGCATCCAAACTTAGTGGATTCTTTTAACTTTAATGTCTCCATGCCTCAACTTCCTCTTTGCAAAATGGGCATAATAATAGCACCCTCTCATCTCACAGGGGTGTTGTGAAAATAAAATAGTGTTTTTATAGCACTCAGATACTATAGTGCTGAGCACCATAGGAAAGCCAGGAGGAAATTATAATAATTCTGTCTTCAGAGCAAGGTATAAATAGTGTGCAGTAAATATGATTTAGGGCTGTACATTGAACAATGTGAAGAAAACAAAATATTGACTAGTTGCTCATTAAGTGAGCAATGTCCAGTCTGTGCTTGCAGTGAAAAAAATAGTACTAGATCATGTAAATAAAGACTGTATCATAATGCATGTGCACAGACAACCTTAGTTCTGCCATTTTCTAACTTTTGAATGGTTGACTTTGCAACCTTAATAATGTTCTTTTAATGTTTGTATATGTAATATATATTAACCCTTGATAGGCAATGATATATTATCTTTGTATCTAGGAAAATGGTGCTAGAAAGTGGTCTGCGGTTAAAGCATTAAAAACATGGAAAAATTATATGTACAAGAATAGGAAGGTGAAGTGGTAGCAGCTTGTTTGTGTGTGTGTGTGTGT